CGTGTTTATAGCTATAATATTACTTAAAGCTCGCTGCATATATTCTTTCCGTCGCATTAAAAATTCCCAGTTTTTCAGTATTCATATAGTTTTGCACTAAATTTTCTGGTTAATATTCCTTCAATTTGTGAGTTTAATTTTGTAATCGCTGTGATTGGCTACTGTAGTTCAACACCGCCGTTTTTCATGCTCGAGTTTCAGGGGCTGCATAAGTGCCAGCTATTTTTAAAACTGATTCACCGTGAACGATCGACCCTCTTGAATAAGATTTGATCAGAGCTGCATTTCACGTCCGCACAGTGTCAGCCATGTTGCTCAATAACGAAACTGTCGGGCCAGGGTTATTCACCACTGAGCAAAGAAGAGGATATACCACCAAATATGCTTTAAATTAGGCCTCTTTTGAGCTTATTTTGAGCATAGAACAGGCTTCTGAGAACACTTCGGCCTGGACGTGAGACCCTCATACACGAGCGAGGCGCACATCGCCTACAACTTGAACTTCCAGAGCGAGGTTGCGGTTGAGGGTTGAGGCCACTCGAGCGACACAAGGCCCATGCCTCTTGTGCATTCGTGATTCGCGAACGGGTGTATTCTCCACGCTTATGAAATTTTATTCCACTTTCACATGGAGCATTTGTTGTGGAATGTGTCTTTCAAGTATGTTATTGCAACAAAAGATTAATTTTTCGTGCCCGCCATTGTGAAAGCCGTGGTAGCCATGTTTACTGGTAATCTTACCCATTAGATGGCGAGGAACAAACAGCCTTACCTCGTGCATGAAAAGAAATCCAGCCATTGTGAGTCCATCAGCACGGGCATCAAACTGACCCGTTAAAAGATCCCATTCCTGGAAAACCTTATTAAAACACCAAGTCAGCTCATGGGTGAAATTGCGGTAAGTGAGAGGATGTAAAAAACAGATAGGAAGGTTTTGTTTGGCTTGTGAAGCACGGGTGGCGTACTAGGATTCACACGGTTTATAGGATCAACATGCCGCCCAGGTCCAACGGTTAGCTCCTTAATATCTAGTGGCGTTGATTGAAAAGCTACGTAGCTTGCTTTCGATACGCAATTGATTACGTTTCTTCTTCTCCTCTCTAGCGTTAGTCCTGCGCAGTCGCATTGTCCGCTTTCCAAACAATTGATTACGTTTCCATGATCTCAAATACCAGACTCGGATGCAAAGGTACTCTTCAGCATTATTTTGCAAGCGCGACCGGGCCTAATGCCAGGGTTGGGGCTGCTTAACTATTGCGAAAGACTCAGCGATTGCACTAGTTCAGCTCAGCTTAAAGGTACAG